TTGGGAAAGTGTTTGCCAAGGCTATGAATTGTGAAAACAGCCTTGCCAGGGAATGCTTTACCTCCTGAAGGGCATGTACAACACCCTCAGAGGAACACCGTTTCCAAGTCAAAGGTGTTCCTTTATTTACAAACACAGAGGTTTGCTGATAATGAAGGTTCTCATCCTCACCTCAAAGCAGGGGTTCCAAGAACCTTGCTCTGTTGGCCAAATGCTCCTGGAAGTATTCCCATAGTCCCTGCCAAGGTGACTGTCTCTTTCCGACCCATCTGAGCAGCGCAGCCTGGCTGCCCCTCCAGCCAGTGACTCAACCCCCATTCAGCCAACTTAGCACTTCTCCTCAGGAATCCTTTCCCAGCTTCTCCACACTTGTAGACACACAATAGCCAATTCCCCACCTTGATTTTTCTTCCTTCCCAACACCACACCCCACCCCCCCAGTTTTACCCAGGTGTCCTCCAGATATCTTCCTTTCCGGAACTATGTGCTTTAGGGGGAGTCCCCAGGTGGCACAAATGGTTAAGCGCTCAACTACTAACTGAAAAGATGGGCGATACCTACCTACCAAGAGGGGCCTCGGAAGAAAGTCCCGGTGATCACTTGTGAGCTACTGGTCTGGGTTTTTGGGCTTGTATATGTGTATGTGTTTTAAGGGAGGCTGACCCAGGCCAGCCTCAGGAAATGAGTCCCGGCTGGTCTGAACCAGTCATTGTGGCCCCAGCTGCCTTGCTGTCGATTGACTTAAACCCGGACCTGTGACATGATTCTGGTCATTGAGATGTAGGAGAAAGCTGTGGCGGCAGCCTTTCGGAAAGGTTTCCTCACTCTTAAAAGGGACACACAGCAAGGGATGCACTCTTGTCCATCTAGCCTTTATCATGTCTGGATGTGATGGCTGGACAGCAACAGGCCATAGGGAGCCAGCTTGGGGGAAAAGCCAACATTCCAAGGAGAGAAATGTGGGCCATTAGGAGAGTTGAATCAGGGGACTGTGTACACGGTGTGGGCAGGATGCAGAGAAACCAACACAGGATAGTGTGCTACCATTGAACTAGTAACAGAGGGAAGCCCTCACCACCTTAGGCCTGAAGAGACAAGGGGAAGAAGCCATTTTCAGAACCTGGAAGACAGGGCCTATAAGGAGAAGCGAGCTGCCCAGCAGAAGCTGTGGTGTACTGTGGTGACTTCACAGGGAAGGTCTGGGGAAAAGAATATCCCAATCTCCCTCACTCCCCACCCTCTTATCTCATGCCAGTACCTCCACTGGCTGAACCCAACAAGAAGCCAGAGGGCCAGGAGCCCAGTGATGGAGTCTCTAGAAGTCAACCTCTCAGTGCACAGAGCAGGGCAGAGAAGTGTGGGGAGCATCTGGAGGACAGGATTTTCAGCACAACCTGGACCTGCAAGTATCTCATTTTTATTTGCATGTTTATTGCTTGTCTCCTCCACGAAGGCAGGGACTGTCTTATTCACCACTGCAAGCTTCCTCCTAGAACAGTGGCTGACAGCGTAACAAATGCTCAGAGTATTGGTTGAGCACCCACTATGTGACAGGCACGGCACCAAAAAACGAGTGAGTAAGAATTTAGTTTGCCTCCAGTTGCTCACAGTCGAGAGAGGGAGAATGAAACCAAAGCAAGAGAGCTGTGCCCAAAGGAGGCATCTCTAAACTGGAAGCAATGCATTTTTTTGAAGGTGTTTGTTGGATGGGGAAGAAGTGGTTAGGAGGAGGGAACAGCATATTGCAAAGGCACAGAGGCAGAAAACATGAGAGGAATTATAAGAAGTTCCCTCTGGCTGGTGGGAAAGATGAGAGGAAGAGCGAGAAGAGAAATGAGGTGGTGAGAAAAGTGAGTAGGAACAAGCTCATATGCTGAGCTAAAGAGTCTGAATTTTATTCTGAGTGTCTTAAGAAATTACCAAGAGGTTGTAAGCAGGGGATTGACATGCTCAGGAGCAGTGGTGGTTCAGTGGTAGAATTCTCGCCTTCCGTGTGGAAGACCCAGGTTTGATTCTCGGCCAATGCAACTCAAGCACAGCCACCACTGTCACTGGAGGCTTGTGTGTTGCTATGATGCTGAACAGGTTTCAGCAGAGCTTCCAAACTAAGACAGACTAGGAAGAAAGATCTGGCTATCTCCTTCTGAACATCAGCCAATGAAAACCCTATGGATCGTAATCGCCTCCATGAACAACTGCGTCCTGCATGAAGAACTGCGTGGTGCCCAGCTACCATTACTGAACATTTTGATCAAAGATACTATAGACAAATCCTGATCAAAAGGAAGAAAATGCAAAACAGAATTTCAAATTCTCCTGGACCCCAGACTTTCTGGAGTCATGCAGACTGGATGAATATTGATAAACTATTGCCCTGAGATAATCTTTAAACCTTACACCAAAAATATCCCCTAAAGCCTTCTTAAAAACTGAACAATAGTCTAGCTTAACTAGTAAAAAAAAAAAGGGCTGCCTTGACCATTTTGCTCTTTTAAGAACTATCTTTATGGGATCAGGGAGCCCTGGTGGTGCATTGATTAAGCACTCAGCTGCTAACTGAAAGGTCAGCAGTTCGAACTCACCAGCAGCTCCACAGGAGAAAGATGTGGCAGTCTGCTTCCGTAAAGATTACAGCCTTGGAAACCCTATTGGGCAGTTCTATTCTGTCCTACAGGGTCACTGTGAGTCAGAATCGACTCAAAGGCAGCACGTATATGGAATCAAAGTGACAACAGCAACTTGAAAGATTAGATAGGAAACGTAGGGGGCAGTGAGTTTATGTTAATGGGGGAGGAACAACTCAGAAAAGGAGGGTGAGAATGGTTGCACAACTTGAAGAATGTAATCAAAGTCACGGAATTGTACATGTAGAAATGGTTGAACTGGTGTACATTTTGCTGTGTGTATTCTCAACAACAACAACAAAATAAAGAAACTTTAGAAAAAGAAAAAAACTCTTTGGGTCACAACGGTCCGATCTCCAACCAGTCATGGAGACGGTATGTTCTCCCATTGTGCATAGGGTCACCATGAGTAGGGGGCCAGCGAACAACGACATGCTCAGATTTGCAGTTTGGTAAAGATCCTCATGGACTGGCAGAATGGAGGGGTAGGGAACCTAAAGCGACAGTAGCTACAAGCCTTATGTGGCTATCTAAATTAAAATTAAATCGAATTAGCAATTCCGTTCCTCATTTGAGCTAGCCACATTTCAAGCTCTCAGTAGCTACATCTGGCTAACGACTACCCTATTGGACAGTACAGGTATAGAACATCTCCATCATTACAGGAAGTTCTACTAGACAGCACTGGCCTAGAGGCAGGGAGACCAGATAGGAGGTTCTTGCAAAAATCCAGACAGAAAGCGGTGCTTAGAGCCTGCTACACTAGGGCAGTGGCCACAGTAATGGAGCAAAGGGGTCAGAGGAACTTAGGGGGCAAGAGGTGTTTAGGCAGTAGAATCTTGAGGATTCGGTGGGAGGTGAATGAGAGGAGGAGTCTCAGGTTTATGGCTGGGGTAATGACCCAGACGAGTGTTTGAGCACAGAGGTGGCATGACCCATTTGGGCGTGTTAAGGAAGCAGTGGTACGGGGCCTCTGGGTGGGTGGATGTGTGCAGCAGTTGATTAGAGACCCAAATCAGAAGCTGGTCCATATCTGGCAGATCCCAGCTCTAACTATTTGCATGTGCATTCAATAGTGCCTGTCTCCACAAATGTCTGTCCTCTCTGCCAGGCCTGGGCACAGAGATGAATGGGGCCCACAGTCTGGGTTAGCGTTTGGGTTAGGTGAGAAAACAGACAAACAAAAAAACACTAAAACAAGTCCCTCTACTCTAGATCCTGAGAGGAGCTGGACATCCCTTCTCAGGGACCCAGGGACCCACCACCCCTCTGGTCTATCCCCAAAGAGCTGCTCTTGGGCCCTGAGCAGTTGGTGGAGTTGAGTGATCATGGTCCAATGCGAAGGACTGCTCCTTTGTTTGGTGCCTCTGATATCAGGTGACAAGGACAGCTGGGCCAATCTAATAGAGGGTGGTGTTTCAAAAGGCCCCATCACCCAGAGCCAGAAGCTCTGGGCCAGCCCCTACAACCTGCTGATCTCAAGCACCTGCCTCCACAGGTATATCCCTTGAGCCCATTTCCCACGTTTTGGGATCCCCCACCATATATCCGGGAACTAGTGGGGGAGGGGTGGGGGGACTCTGGGCTAGGTGTAGGAAGCCTGAGTTCTAGTCCTTGCTACCCAACTCTGGACCTCAGTTTCTCTGTTTTCAAATGGGCAGCTTGAACTAGGCCATCTCTATGGACCTTTCCTTGGACTGGAATGGAGAGATGGGGTGGGGTCCCCACCTCGCACCAGGCCAACCCTGGTCTTGTATGCAGCCCAACCTCAGCCTCCAAGACTGTGAGGGAATGGAGACTTGTCCTCAGAGAGGGCACCCTTCCTGGTATTGATAGAGCCCCTGGGGGAGGTGGGCAGGGCTATTTGTAACAGCCTTGAAGCCTTGGCCCCCTCAGTGTTGCTGGGCATGGGGTGGTCCCTGTCCCTGGGTATGAAGGAAGTATCAGCAAGCAGGACCACAGGGAGCCAGCACTAGTAGTGATTCTTTAGCACAATGCCCAGTGTACAGACTGCCCAGGGGCTGGCAGCGGCGCTACACTCGGCTCCTTCCTTTTGGAGTGATCACATGCATCTGCTCCAGCCTCAGAACTTGACTGTGGTGATAGGTAGAGAGGAGGGCCAGGGCTGCCGGCTCAAACACTCAAGTTGGGACTCTCAAGGCTCCTTTCCCACCCTCAGACTCTGCAACACTCTAAGGGTGAACTCCTTGGTACAGGATCTGTGCTGTATGTATCTTAGTCTTTCTGCTCTCTGGCTGGGAGCCAAGCACAGAATATGTGTCCATGTTTATTAAGTAAGTGAGTGAGTGAATAAATGGATGAATAAATCCACCCTTAGCCTGGCTCCTCCTTCTTCTTTCCCTCTAGTTGGTAAAGATGGCATTATCCCAGCCTGTTCCTTTCTCTGCCACCGAGTTCTTCCCGGTCTCCGCCATCTTCTGCCTGGTATTCTGGGTGGTCAGGGCCTGGAAGCCTCAGGTCCCCAAAGGCCTAAAGAGTCCCCCGGGGCCCTGGGGCTGGCCCCTGATTGGACACGTGCTGACCCTGGGGAAGAACCCGCACCTGGCGCTGACGCGGCTGAGCCAGCGGTACGGGGACGTGATGCAGGTGCACATTGGCTCCACGCCCGTGCTGGTGCTAAGCGGCCTGGACACTATCCGGCAGGCCCTGGTGCGGCAGGGCGATGACTTCAAGGGCCGGCCTGACCTCTACAGCTTCACCCGCATCACTGACGGCCAGAGCATGACCTTCAGCCCTGACTCTGGACCAGTGTGGGCCGCCCGCTGACGCCTGGCCCAGAACGCCCTCAACACCTTCTCCATAGCCTCACACCCAGCCTCCTCATACTCCTGCTACCTGGAAGAGCATGTGAGCAAGGAGGCTGAGGCCCTCCTCAGCAGGTTGCAGGAGTTGATGGCGGGAGCCGGGTGCTTCGACCCCTACAGCCAGGTGGTGGTGTCGGTGGTGAATGTCATCAGTGCCATGTTCTTCGGACAGCACTTCCCCCAGCACAATGAGGAGCTGCTCAGCCTCATGGAGAACAGCAAGGAGTTCGTGGAGATCGCCACCTCCGGGAACCCCGTGGACTTCTTCCCCTTCCTTCGCTACCTGCCCAACCCCACCCTGCAGAAGTTCAAGTCCTTCAACCAGAGGTTCCTGCGGTTCCTGCGGTTCCTGCAGAAAACAGTCCACGAGCACCTGCGGTTCCTGCAGAAAACAGTCCACGAGCACTATCAGGACCTTGACGAGGTGAGCCCGGGGTGCAAGTGGTGAGGAAACAGCCTGCAGGGCCTGGGCGTGGTCTCTCTCACCCAGCTCCAAAGTACCCAGGAAGGCTTGGGAAACCAAGGACCAGCTGTGTGACCCGGAGCCAATCCCCTCCCCTTCTCGGCCTCAGTTTCCTCATTCCTCTGGCCTTCTTCTCAGGGCTGCTGCAAAGTCCCAGGGAGATAACTCATGTGAACGGGGCCCTGGCAGAGCCCTACATTGTGTGTGTGTGTATGGGGGGCTATTATGAGTGAGAAGACCTTCCTTCTGCATGAAACCTGAGCCTCAACAGAGGCTAATCCCCAATTCAGGTGTCACTTTGCTTCCGTGTGTTCACATCAACCTCTTCCTCCTCTGAAGTTGGATCCATAGGATTATTGGGATGAAGGGTCAACAGGGCTTGAAATGGCACTTTCAGCCCTACCCAAGGCTGCTGCACACTTCTGCCATGAGCCCCCACCACTACCTGGGAGCCAGAGGGGAGTACTTAGCCCCCAGGGACTTGCCAGTTGGGGTAGGCAAGGTGAAGGGCCCAGCCTTTGGCCTCAGATGTGTCAGAGGTGCTCCTATGCTTGTGACTCTTCAGAACAGCATCCAGGACATCACAGGTGCCCTGTTCAAGCACAACGAGGAGGATTCGAGAGTCAGCGGTGGCCTAATCCCCCAGGAGAAGATTATCAACCTTGTCAAAGACATCTTTGGGGCAGGTAGGAGCCAGACCCCTGCCCCTCCATCCACCTGTGCCTGCCTTTCACCCATAGCTTTGCCCAACCCCCAAATCCATCAAATAACCTGCCAACCATCCACCAGACAGGACAGGACAAAGAGACCTGGCCCAGGATCAGGATTTGAGCCCTGGCTGTGCCACAAACTCCCAGTGGAAATCCGACCAAGTCCCTCTCCTCCTCCAGGCCTCAGTTTCCCCATCTGAACTACAAGGCGTTCTCTAGTCTGGAAATCTAGGCCCCTGTGATTCCAGCAGCTAATTAGGAAACCAATCACTCAAGTCAGTATTGAGGAGACCCAGCCCCTGTCTTTAGGAAGTTCCTGGGCAGGGGCCAGAGAAAATAATGCCTGGGTGCTTGGTAAATGCTGGTTTCCTTGTTCTTGTCTTCCTTTCTTCCTTAACTCACCCCACACTGCCCAGGGTTTGAAACAATCATAACAGCAATCTCCGGGAGCCTTATGTACCTCGTGACAAAGCCTGGGATACAGAAGAAGATCCAGAATGAACTGGGTACGCTATGTCCCTGAACCCTCTAACCAAGAGAAGCCTTGGGGTCCCAGGTCTTTTTCTTCAACCTATAAGCTTCTCTGTGCCTACAATGTGCCCAAGCCCTGGGCATACACAGGTTGCTCAGAAGATTCTGGGGGGTCAGTAGGGTCTCAGAGAAGTAAATAAGCATAGTCCCATATAGAGTGACACACGGTATAATAGGGACACAGATGCCTGGAGGAGTCGGGGCAGCCCCTAAGCCCTGTCCATCCTCTGCAGACAGTAATTGGCAAGGCGCGGAAGCCCAGCTCTCCGACAGACCCCAGCTGCCCTATATGGAGGCCTTCGTCCTGGAGACCTTCCGACACTCCTCCTTCAGCCCCTTCACCATTCTGCACAGGTGAGTCCTGTCCATTCTGACTCCACCTTGGAAGTCCTCACCATGTCTACTCCTTTGAGCTTCTTAGCCCTGGCCTGACTCAGGCCTCAGCATCTCTTCCAGGCCATGACATCAGCTTCCTCACAGAACCCACCCCCCAGCTCTAGTCTATCCCTGTCCCATTCAAACATGCTCAAACCTCCCAGCTGAAGGCTCTCAGAAGAAAGCCACAGTTGAGTCCTCAGATCTCATTCAACTATACTCACATTCCCTCCCTTCTGCTCCGGCCAGTTGGCCTCACCATCCCTTCCAAGCATGTTCTGGCCAACCTCCAATTTTGCTTATGCTGGATCTTCTGCCTGAAATAGTTTCTACCCTATTCTATGGCTATCAGAATCCTACCATTACCCAAGGTCAATCCTGACACACATTTCCCCTCTCCCAGAGCCTTTATTGACTCACCCAGCTGACACAGCTTTGTTCTCTGACATTCTATTAGACTTACAGCCATTTGTCCTTGATTATGTCCTGGAATTTTAACAGCGGCAAGGAAGTGAACATTCGCTTCTGCCCATTTGTTGGTTTAGTTACTTTCAGAGTAAGAGGCCTGACTCCCAGCCAGGAAAGGAGTTCTCCAGTGGCTGCTTCTTGGCTCCAGAGAATGGCCAAGTGCACATCTGGGCATAAACATGGACGTTTAGTAAGCACTTGTTGAAGTCAGGGAACAAGAGCCTAGGAAAGGGAAAGATGATTTCCCCTCTTCCCCACCCCTCACATTCCCTCCCAGTGCAGGGTGCAGAGATTGTGTTGTGGTGGGCTATCGGGGTGGGATGGAAGTAGGAGCAAGTAGCTCCCAGGGACACGCCCCAGCTTTCCAGCCCCTCAGCCTGACAAAACTCTCTTCCCTCCTCAGCACAAGGGACACAACACTGAATGGCTTCTACATCCCTAAGGGGTGCTGTGTCTTTGTAAACCAGTGGCAGGTCAACCATGACCAGTGAGTACACATCAACCACTGAACGCTGCACAAGTTCAGCAGTCAGGAAGGCTGTTTATCCCCACAAAGAACTGATTATCTAATGAAGGAATGGTGCCTCAATTGCTACCTAGCCTGGTGTAAGTGACAAAATTTAGACGTGTTTCTCAAACTTGAGTGTGCACATGAAGCAACCAGGAAGTTTGTTACAGAGTGTGAGGCCCCATTCCCCCAAGATTCTACTTCAGTAGGTCTGAAATAGGTACCTCAGGTGATTCTGATGTGAATGGCCCTGGAACCCCTCTTTGGAAAATACCGGGTTAGTCTAATAGGTAGAAGGACCATATAATTTATCATCCAAACTTGGGACATTTTTGAAAGTGAAAGGGGATTCTATTAATAATTACCTTAAGACAATAAGCAATAACCAGGTTATACAGCTGGTTACACCATATTTTTAGGAGGGTAAAGATAAACATGTTTTCCTTCCTTTAATTTTTTTAAAGCATTATTTCTTTAAAATAACAAATTAAGGAGCACCATTTTCAAGGCTGACCATTTTACAGAGAGCTTTGTAAACAAAATAAGCATTAAAGTAGATAGGTCCCTTTCTCACTAACCTTTCACTGCTCTCAATCTATGCTAATACTTGTGTTATCAATCCATGGAGGCCTCAGCCCTTGTTTCTTTGCTCAGATGGCTCCCCCAGCCCTTTCCTCCCAGGGCCTCATCAGCCCTGAGATTCCATTGCTTGTGTCCCTCTTGTAGGAAGGTCTGGGGAGACCCATTTGACTTCCATCCAGAGTGATTCCTCACTGCTGAGGGCAGAACCATCAACAAGACCCTGAGTGAGAAGGTAATGCTCTTCGGCATGGGCAAGCGCCCGTGCATGGGGGAGGTCCTGGCCAAGTGGGAGATCTTCCTCTTCCTAGCCATTCTGCTGCAGCAGCTGGAGTTCAGCATGCCACCAGGCATAAAAGTGGACCTGACCCCCATCTCCAGGTTGGCTAGGAAGCACGCCTGCTGCAAGCACTTCCAGGCACAGCTGCGCTTCTCCATCAAGTGATGAAAGCCCCATCATGCTGAGGCAGGGGAGTGGTTCACCATGGTACCTCTGCCCTTCTTTTTTTTTTTTTTAATATATAACCACTTTATTGAAATATAACTCACATACCATACAATTACCTATTTAAAGTGTAAAATTCGTTGGTTCTTAGTATATTCACAAAGTTATGCAAGCATCACCACAATAAATTTTAGAACATTTTCATCACCCCAGGAAGAAACTCCATACCCATTAAAAATCACTCCCCATTTTCTTCCTACTTTCCCTGCCCCTACCCCAGCCCTAGGCAACTACTAATCTATTTTCTGTCTCTATAGATTTTTCTATTCTGGACATTTCATATAAATGGAATCATACAGTATGTGGTCTTTGTGCCTGGTTTCTTTCACTTAGCACAATGTTTCCAAGGGCCATCCATGTCATAACATGTATCAGTAAGCCCTTGTTTCTTGAGTCCTGAGACTAGACCCAGGTCTGTCCCCTCATAGTCATTGATGGGTACTATCACTGCTCTCTCTCTTCGCTCTTTTCTTGTACAAACCAAGTCTTTGAACAGTTGAAAGAAACAGTAAGGAAGGGACCCAGCCTTGCAGGTCAAACCCAACAGGTGAATGGGGTTCCCCCATGTCCCTTCTTCAAAAGGTAGAACATGCAACTTCTCATGAAGTCTTGATTTGTTAGCCTACAGCTGAGAGAGGATAAGCTCCCCAGAAAAGTTTGGTTTACCAACAAAAGGCCCAGGACTTCCCCTCTCCCCACACAGCCCCAGGGTGGCGCACCCCCACAGCTTACTTCCACTATGGCAGAGCCCACTCTTTCCACCGCTAGGAATGGCTTACCTGGAAGTTCTCCTGGAAGACACAGTCCTGGGCGGGTAGTCATGGGTCCCAGGCTCTAGTCCTGGTTCTGACCCACAGTGTGATACTAAGCAAGGCCCTTCACTGCTCTGGGGGTCCCAGTGTCTCCACCTATAAAATGGAGGAAGAGGGTTGGATTAATTAATCTCTAAGAGCCAATTAATTGATCTCAAAGCCAATCTCTAGATTAACTTTGTTCTCTACAAAATGAGAGAGGGGTTTGTTACGTTTATCTCCTATGTGTGAGCAAGGTTCTTCCCCACAACACACCTCCCCACTAAAAAATCGAGACAGAACTGAGCTTGAGGATGCCTATATTTGGATATTTGAACCTCCTCCCCCCATCCCCATTGTCTCAGTCATCTAGGGCTGCTCCAACAGAAATACCACAAGTAGATGGCTTTACAAAGAGAAATTTATTCTCTCACAGTCCAGTAGGCTACAAGTCCAAATTCAGGGCATCAGCTCCAGGGGAACGCTTTCCCCATTGGCTCTGGAGGAAGGTCTGTGTCATCAATCTTCCTTTGGTCTGGGAGCTTCTCTGCTCAGGAACCTCAGGTCCAAAGGACACACTCTGCTCCAGGCACTGCTTTCTTGGTGGTATGAAGTTTCCATGTGTCTCTGCTCGCTTCTCTCTTTTATATCTCAAAAGAGATTGCATTAAGACACTAATCTTGTCAACCTCATCAGTATAACCTCATCACAGTGATAGAATTTATAACACATGAGGAGATCACATATAATCTCATCATAGTGGTAGCGTTTACAAAACATAAGAAAATCACATCAGATAACACAATCATACAATACTAGGAATCATGACCTAGCCAAGTTGCTACCCACATTTTTTGGGGGACACAATTCAATCCATGACACACATACACACACACCAAAACTGACCACCTGCTTTCCTTAATGCACCTCCAGCACAAGGATCTCTCCAAGGCCATAGCTTTATGCTTGGAGGGGTGAACTGGCTATATAATGTGACTTCAGGGTGCCCACCTAGGTGTGGGAAACAGAGAAAAGAAAATGATGGAAGAATCCTCAGGAAGGTGCTGTTGTTGTTAGGTGCCATCGAGTCGATTCCCACTCATAGTGACTCCATGTACAACAGAACAAAACACTGCCTGGTCCTGCGCCATCCTCACAATGGTTATTATGCTTCAGCCCATTGTTGCAGCTACTATGTCAATTCATCTCATTGAGGATCTTCCTCTTTTTCCATGACCCTCTACTTTACCAAGCATGATGTCCTTCTCCAGGAACTGGTCCCTCCTGATAGCATGTCCCAAATACATGAAATGAAGTCTTGCCATCCTTGCTTCTAAAGAACATTCTGGCTGTACTTCTTCCAAGACAGATTTGTTCATTCTTCTGGCAGTCCATGGTATATTCAATATTCTTCATCAACACTATAATTCAAAGGCATCAATTCTTCTTTGGTCTTCCTTATTCGTTGTTCAGCTATCACATGCATATGAGACATTGAAAACACCATGGCTTGGTTCAGGCACACCTTAGTCCTCAAAGTGATGTCTTTAAAGAGGTCTTTTGCAGCAGATTTGCCCATTGCAATATGTGGTTTGATTTTTTAGCTGCTGCTTCCATGGGGGTCAATTGTGGATCCAAGTAAAATGAAATGACACAGAAAGAATGGCTGCGTATACCCATCTATTATGATCCTCTGCTTTCTGGAATAGACTTATTAGCCACATGAGCAGTGAATTCTGCAAAGTGAATTCTGCTTTCCTATCGCTTTTATCATCGCATTAGTGATATGTTCTGTAGAAATAGAGCCACTAGTAGTTCAAATTGAAAATTTAGTGAGAAGATGGTTTAAATGGTGACCAACCCCTAAGTGTTGTAGCCCAGGGAGCAAGTTTACAGGTACTGACACCCATATTTTTTTCTAAATATTGCTCTTGATACCACTGTATGTGTAGCTGCTGGACCTCAGTTCCTACCACTTCCTCTGTCTGAATAATCAAACTGAACCCATTGCTGTCGAGTTGATTCCAACTCATAGTGACCCTATAGGACAGAGTAGAACTGCCCCCAGGGCTTCCAAGGAACAGCTGGTGGATTTGAACTGGTGACCTTTTGGTTAGTAGCCATAGCTCTTAACCACTGCGCCACTAGGACTCCACTGTCTAAATGGTAAACGCAAAGACTAATAGAGCTAGTTTGCAATACCACCCTTGACCAACAGAAACTACTGTTTAATATATGACATCTGTACTGTTGCAGAAAAATTCCTTCAGTTTATTTTTGGTTCCTTTATGACTAATTGGGGCTCAACTTATCTGTTCTACAAATTATGATTTTCTGAGATGACATGAAAATGAGCAAGCCCTTCACTTCCAGTGTGTTTGCCCAGATGCATACTTGCCCCAATGTTCAGGAAATAATCATGAATGTCTGTGGCTTTGGAGAAAATAATAAATCCAAGAAGTAAAAACATCTGGATTTGTGCTAAAATCCTGCAGAAAGGAAGTACTTCACCTAAGTACTGTCTGTGTCCATGCCTGTCCTCAAACCCAAAATAAACTCCTCAAGGAACCTCCATCTGACAAAAGACCCAGGTCATCTTTTAGACTCAGGAGGGCACAGCTCTGCCCTAGGGAACCCCAGTCTGAGGGCGAAGACAGAGTCCTGCCCTGGGAACTCTAGATAAGCAGGGCATGACTTTGCCTTGAACATCATGGGCTGAGTGAGGAGACACAGCCCTGCTTGGGGGCTCATCTGAGGGCAAAATTATCATGCCCAGAGAGTCCCAATCTGAGGAGGGAGATGCAGTACAGCCCTTGGAGTCCCAGGAGAAACGGCCTCATTCTGTGATCCCCTGTTTGAGGGAGGAGACACAGCCTTGTCCTGGAAACTCATACAGAGTTGGTCCTGCCATGAGGGTCTCAGTCAGAGAAGGGAAGACCAAACCTTCCATGGGAACTCTAAACTGAAGGGAACACAGCTCTGCCATGACCATCTCAGTCTAAGAAAAGAGGCCCAGTCCAGCCCTGGGAGCCCCAGCAAACTTGGTCCTCTCTGGGAGAGGAGATGTGGCCTTGCCCTGGGATCTCCAGTTGGAGGGCGTCATGGCCGTATCCTCCAGGGCCCCTGGGCTAGTGGGAAGCTCATCAATGCTCCTTAGTGGTATATATAAAGACCCCAACAAGCTGACACAGCCATACTTAGCCAATCCAAGATTCAGCCAAGGGGCAGCTCCTTGGGGAGTTCCATGCCAAGCCTGAGGTGACCCAGTGGTTACCCAACTGTCACTGCACCATCTGGCTCCCTGTGGTCAGGAGTTGGCCTGAGCTTCTCACGCACACCTGGCCAAT